TCCCCTATTTTCGGAAACCCCCAAGCTTCAAGAGTTGAAATTGAAAGAGGATCCTGGACCCCAAGAGCTCGATCGAAGACGCTTACACAAACCCTACACCCTGATTCCGAAATCTTGCAGTCTCTCTTTATATGCGGTTGTTAAGGTTGGCGAGCTTCAAGGTTCAAGACTTGGAGCTTGAGGGGTTAGCTCAGGGTCTAAGACGACTCGAGGCGGCACCACTCGATGTTTGCTGGTCTCGGACTCATCACGCTGAAGATGACCTCTCTGCATGGGGGAGGCAGTGTGGGAGTTTAGTGTAGCAGCAACCAGTGCCAGCAAGTGACACCCCACATCATTACATGTATGAAACATGTACACCATGGACAAGCCATGGTAATGACGGTAGCCATGTAGCACATCAATTCAAACAAATCGGCCAGAACCAAATACGTATACCACCGCCATGCTTCTTCACTGCCCCATACCAGCGATTAAGGAGAAGCGCAATATTTCAGGCCAGCGGGCAGCCACGATATCAGTGGATGGATTCGGGCCTAATGCTCAAAAAGTTTAGAGCTTGAGGTTCTGGTGATATACACAATTTAGGCAAAAGGTTCAACAAGACCTTGGCTGTGGCCAAGGTCATGGTCGTGGCAGCAGTGACGACGACAGTCATGATGACGATGATGGTGGTATTGTCGGTGTGTAAATGAACACTCACCCTGGTCATCACCATGGCCATGATGTGGCATCGCACGATACGATATGGTGTGCATGATGCCCATAAACCCATGATGACGACAGAAATGGCGTCATGAATAAACTAACTTAAGAAGAAGTAGAAGAAGCGTACAAGCACGACGACAAGACGTTGAGCAGAGCCATGAACACTACGGAGCTAAATAGAGGGTGTGATCACATTGATAGTGTCGTGTGATGAAATCTGGCGAAGTGCAAGCTTGCGATGGTGATGGTGCTGTTGGTCTTGATATTGATGCAGGACTGGGAGCAGGAAGAGGGTGACCAAAAAGCGAAGGCGATAACGTGATGAGCGATAAAGACTTCCGGTGATGACGACGGTCACGATGAGGATTGTTTAGACGACGACTCCTGTCATGGTATGCATATATATCTGTGTATATATATATATTGATGGAGTATATGACTCCAGCTCAGAATATGACTGTTGCCA